ATTAGGGATAACAACACGAAAAGGACTTGGAAATTGTTATAGACAACAAACTATGCAACAATGTGCAATGTCAATCAGCAGTGGCTAAGTCCAGTAAGGTATTGTCATGTATGCAAAAGGGCATTCATTCTCGGAATGAAAATATCATTTTGCATCTTTATAAATCAACGGTAAGACCACATATTGAATATGTGGGACTATTTTGGGCATCTGTTCTAAAGAAGCATATTATGGCACTAGAAAATGTGCAGAGGCGGGCTACTAAATTAATAAAAGGAATGGAATATATCAGCTATGAAGAAAGGTTAACAAATTTAAACCTCTTTAGTTTAGAAAAACGTTGCCTGGGAGGGGATATGATAACATTATACAAATATATATTCAAGGCCAATACAAACCATCGTGTGGAAATCTATTCACAAACCGTACTTTACATAGGACACAAGGTCATGCATTTAGACTGGAAGAAAGAAGATTTCGTCTTTTTTTACTGTAAGAACAATAAGGATGTGGAATTCTCTGCCTGAAAATGTGGTTTTATCAGAGTTCATGCAGAGGTTTAACCCCTTAAGGACACTTGACATGTGTTACATGTCATAATTCCCTTTTATTCCAGAAGTTTGGTCCTTAAGGGGTTAAACAGCAACAAAACAGAATATTCAAATAGAATATTCAAGGATATAATTTTTCAATGTAGGGTAAAAGCTGCTTGATCCAAGGATAAATCTGACTGCCATTCTGGGGTCAAGAAGGAATTTCTTTCCTAGTTTGTTGCAAAATTGGAAGTGCTTCAAACTGGTTTTTTTTGCCTTCTTTTGGATCAACAGCAAAAACAAATGTGAGGAAGGTTGAACTTGATGGTCGCAAGTCTCTTTTCAGCTATGTAACTATGTAATTATATATACACACAAAATACAGAATCCACTCGCTAATTCACTAAACAATGATTTCAAATCTTAGAGATTGTAAGAGTTTTATTTAAAAACACCTCACCTAGGCAAAAAATGATGGGGGTTTAGTTACATTATATGATCATACAATGCATAAGCCTGCCAACTACGTCAAAGTACCCCATATTCGGCAGGTCCTATCCTAGTAGCAGCCTAATGCTTGCTCTTATGAGATTAATCATAAGACACTGAGACACTGAATGTGGAGACACTGAATGTTTGGATGCATTTTAGGCAGTCATGACCCAGGAAGGCTCTCTAACAGCCATCTGAGGAGTGGCCAATGAAGTTATCACTAGGCTGTAACGTAAACACTGCTTTTTCTCTGAAAAGACAGTGTTTACAACAAAAAGACTGAAGGTAATGATTCTACTCACCAGAACAAATTCAATACGCTGTAGTTGTTCTGGTGACTATAGTGTCCCGTTCAGTATGAAATCCTGCATATATCTGAATAAATTTAATAGGAACAAAAGCAATTAAATACAGAAATGGAGAGAATATAATTTAGCAAACAATACATAATTAAACAAAATAAATCAACAGTATCGAAAATCCAGCAATGTATATCCCATCTCCACTCCATCTTCAATTGTTATAGAGGACCTCCAAGCACAAGCGATAATTCCAGTATACCATCTTCAGCAGAGCTCTGCACTTTGAACAAACATACTCTCTTTGAGAGGGGGCGTGTTTTTCATCTGTGATGACAAAACACTCTTTCTGGTCCAACCCCTCTCAGTGGGCTGCTGTGATGCAAAAATGCCCTGGCCATTATTTTTCCCAGTCCAGCCCTGGTTACACCCATGTTACAATGTATAAATAACATCTGTACACACTCTGATGTCACAGAGTATATATCATCATATAGGACAGTGATGGCTAACTTTGACACCATAAATTGTTTTTGGACTACATTTCCCATGATGCTCAGTTAGCTTTTATACTCTAGAAGCTAGCTGAGCATCATGGGAGATGTAGTCCAGAAATGATTTATGGTGTCAAGGTTAGCCATCACTGGTTTAGGAACAAAATAGACAAAAGCTTACATAACATAGTCATCATATTGGAACAACATAGACAAAAGCCTACATAACATAGGGTCATCATATAGGAACAACATAGACAAAAGCCTACATAACATAGGATCATCATATAGGAACAGTAAAGACTGAAATCCTAAATGTCAATAAATGTAAAAGGAACAAAAGCAATTTAAATACAAAAATGGAGAGAATATCATATTTAGCAACCAATACATAATCAAACAGAAAATACCCATTATGGAAAATCCAGCAATGTATATTCAATGTATACCATCTCCACTCCATCTTCAATTGTAATAGCATACGTCCAAGCATCAGCAATAATATCACCTAATAACAAGAAGGATTAAAACAAAACAATATACAGGCTAATGTAGACCAACCACAATTACAAGAATGGTGATAAATCCCTGTCCTCATTGTGGCACTTGGGATATAGCATCTGCAATTAGTATATCCAAAATAACGCCCTTTGTCTCAACTGAAGTCCCACCAGTCACAACGTGGAAGATAATGCATCCTCTCAGTGACAATGTAGTGTGAATTGGAATTGGAATGCCCTGACTCCACAAACTGTGTAGCCACCGGATGTTGTGACTTCTGCCACACTATGCCACTCTATGCAGGACCAAAACAAAAGGTCAATCAAAATTCATATGTATGCCTCACTGACATCCAAATCCTGAAGGGCTGCAAAAACAACCTCTATCACCTCCTCATGTGGTATAGAGGTTTATAATCTGATTATATCCATAGTGAATTGAATTATGTGTTTATTCGTACACTGCCAGATGTAATTATGTCAAGTCCAATAGCACTCATAATTTACAGTGATGGCCTTCAGCTGTGGGGGGTATATTTAAATCTGGATGGAGGGTAAGCATACTTGACTATCCCTTGAGAAAGACACGTTTTTGCTGAAAGCTCTATGTGAGTGTTATATGCAGCTTTTGCTTTGTTATTTGCCAACTATAGCCTCTAACATTGCTTTTTTGTGGTAATTACTAGAGTTGAGCGAAACCGGACTGTAAAGTTCGGATTCGTACCAAACATTACATTTTTTGGACCCCAGACCCGAACACGGACAAATCACTGTATGTTCGGGTTGGAGTTCGGTGTTCGGCGATTTAATGGCACGTTTTGAAAGGCTGCAGGGCAGCCAATTAACAAGTGTTTGACTCGTGTGTCCTTAGAAGCAATCACAGCCATGCCTACTAATGGCATGGCTGTGATTGGCCAGTGCAGCATGTGACCCAGCCTCTATATATAAGCTGGAGTCACGTAGCGCTGCATGTCACATGAGCTCTTATTAGTGTAGGGAGAGGACGCTGACGCTTTCAGGGACAGATTAGGAAATAATTCTGCAAACTAGTACATTAGTGGGGTGCACTTCATATCTGAGAGTCAAATAGAAGCGTCAAATACTGCTGTTACATCGGAGTTTTAAAAAGTACTTTTTTTTGGTGCTAAAAAGTACTTTTTTTTGGTGCTAAAAAGTACTTTTTTTGGTGCTAAAAAGTACATTAGTGGGGTGCATTTAATATCTGAGAGTCAAATAGAAGCATCAAATACTGCTGTCACATTGCAGTTTTAAAACTTAAAATTATTTGGGTGCTAAAAAGTACATTAGTGGGGTGCACTTCATATCTGAGAGTCAAATAGAAGTGTCAAATACTGTGGTTACAGCGCAGTTGTAAAAATTCTAATTGTTTTGGTGCTAAACTGCTAAATAGTAAATGTGGGGCCTGCTGTTCATATCTGTGAGTCAAATACAAGCGTCAAATACTGCGGTTTACAGCGCAGTTGTAAACATTCTTATTTTCTGGGTGCTAATCTGCTAAATAGTAAATTTGGGCCCTACACTTCATACCTGAGAGTCAAATAGAACTGTCAAATAGTGCTGTGACATAGCAGTTTTAAACATTCCACTTTTTTGGCTGCTAAATAGTACATTTGCGGCCTGCGGTGCACTTCATATCTGAGAGTCAAATAGAACCGTCAAATATTGTGCTTACATTGAGGTTGCAAAAATTCTAATTCTTTAGGTGCTAAAATGTCAATTTGGTGCCTGCACTTCATATCTGAGAGTCAAAGAGAACCATCAAATACTGTGGTTACAGTGCAGTTTGACCAATTAAATTTTTTTTGGGTGCTAAATAGTACATTTGCAGCCTGCACTTCATATCTGACAGTCAAAAAGAACCGTCAAATACCAATATAACAATATTGTAAGTCAAACTGAGAGGTCAGTTTATAGGGAAAACTGTTGCCTGCATACAATTCTAAAACAATTCCCATTTGTCCTTTGCAGAGTTTACATGCTGGAAAAACACAGGTGCCAACTGCTGTGGCTTTCTGCAGTGTGCAGACCGGCAAGGAGGGCAGGGTTGAGGAGTGGGTGGAAGATGATGTGGAGGATGATGAGGTCCTAGACCCCACATGGAATCAAGGTCATGCCAGTGACTTGTGCAGTTTGGAGGAAGTGGCGCTGGTCGCACAGAGGCACCAGCACAACATAAGAGGGAGAAGAGTGCAAAATCGGAGTGGCCGTCCCCTAGCGCTCGTCGGCATGTATTATATTTAGAATTCCCACAGTTATCCAAGTAACAGATGGAGCGACAAAAGGAACCATAACAGATTTAACGAGCCATTCGCAGTTTCGCAGTCCGGTGACCGGGACCCAGACACTGTCTGGGCGGCGGTCGAACGACCGGGGCCCAGTATGCCTGATGTTGAAGTTAGGAGTCACAGTGTGGAGTGGATTAGCAGGGTCTGGTGCAGGGTAACCGCACGCCCCTTGGTGTTGAGCACCAGTGTTTGTGCGGCCACATACCAGGACCCTGATGCATCTTTAGTAAAAAGAGTACTGGATACCAGAAGCCATCACCATACTGATCCGCAACTTGGAACAGGATCTGACATTTACTGTAGCGGCTGTGTGCACTTTTGGCGTTCTCACCCTGCTGCTTGCCTGTCTGCGGTGCAGCGTAACTTCCCGCAGGCGTTAGTGGAGTTTCCGCTGCAGCATGCACGGGTCAGCCGCTCTGCACCAGACTTGCCCTCCAATTGATCAGAGTTAAAGGATTTCAAGTGGACTCATTACAATTACAGGGCCTCTAAATAGTCCTGTATTGTTATTTGTCGTCACTACTTTCCTGTGTCGGGAGTGGGTCATTTGCATGCCTGCTGCCTTCCTTGCATGTGGAAGCCATTTCTCAGGCTCCCTCTCCGCAATCGAACCCTGATTCCCCGTTACCCATGGTCACCATGGTAGGCGCAGAAAGTGGCATCGAAAGTGGATATGGATGACATACGAATGCGTCATCACCTTGTCGTTGGGGAGCCCATTGAAAAAGTGCTCTAGCATGACGAGCTGGGTGATCTCCGGGAACTTGGCTTGATGGGAGTTGAGCCAATTCTGGGTGGCCCTTGTGATGCGGCATGCCCACTCCACATGGGAGTCCTTCTCCCCTTTCCGGGTCTCCCTAAGCTTTCGGCGGTATTGCTCGGGGGTTACCGCATACCGGGCCATTCGGCCACACTGTCTGTTCTACTGAGAACGTGGCTGAGGCTGCACATTAAGGCCATGAGGGAGAGGAGCGTTCAGGACATGAACGGGATTTGACTGGAGGTGGCTAACGTTTGGGCCACGTACAGGCGAACATGGAGGTTGGCGTACATTCGGGCCGCGAACAGACAAGTAGGGGACCAAGCGAAAGTTTAGGCCACAAACTGGTGAGGGCTGGATCTGGCGAATGTTCGGGTAGTGAACACGTAAAAGGGAAATCTGCTGAATGTTCAGCCTGGGAGCTTGAGGACAGTTTGGGCCATGAACAGGACTCCAATATTTCCCATACAGCTGTACATTCGAACTGCGCTCGCTCGTGAACTACTGTAGGGAGAAATCCAGGAACAGCAATGGCAAGCTCTGCAGCAGGCACTGGGCGTGCTGGGAGTGCTGTTGGATGTGATGGAGTAGAGGATCCTGCTGGTGACACCCTGGGTGAGTCGCCTGTGCAGCATTGAGTCAGGAGCCGACCCGACGTTTCATATGGTTTCTCACCATTTGTATTATCACTTATGTTGTTAATGGTCATCTGTACCATAGGACTGGATACCACTGTATGGGGTCAAGCAATTAGCAATTTGGTTAATATTCATTTTACCTCAGCATTTTTCTGTTCCACAACCCCCTCTACTTTGGGGGTTGTTGGTTCCACTGATTTCCCAAAGTAACCCAAATATAAATGCAGTTGCACTAAATGCAGGATCACCATCCAAGTAGATCGTCCTGGGTTTTCCAATGCATACTAAGGAAGTGAGACCTAAAATCGTGGTATTAGAGGTTGCACTTTGCACAGGATATAACCAAGTAAACCTGGTATATGCATCAACACATACAAAAACTTTATAACCATGAGATGTTGGCAAATGTCCAATATATAGTCATTCAAAAGGTACATATGTGAGGAAGGCTGAACTTGATGGACACAAGTCTCTTTTCAGCTATGTAACTATGTAACTATTTGAACTGATATTTCAAAAAACAGTACAACAGTAATGTCGCCTAGTTAACAATAAGCAAATGCTTACAATTACGAATAATACAAACTACAGTATTTCCTATATTGAGCCACCAATATTCCTTTTCAGTAGTAAGAAGTACATTTCCTCTTTCTATATGAGCTTGTCCCAGCCCTGAATAGGCTTTTAGGGCAAGTCTCTCTTTCCTTTACAGAAAGAACAACCAACGTATTACCTTCAATGGTTATTATATAATGAACTCCTCTAAATGATAGGAGTATTTATGTGGATAACCACGTGAATTCGATCTGGTTATCCATGCAAGCAAAAAATTCTGCATCATGACTGAGAGATGGGGTATGTTGTTGTGATCTAGTGATCACTTTAATAGAGTAGCATTCAATGATTCAATTCATATCTATGAGGAGATGCTGATTGGATAGGGCTGTGTTTGAATTGTGCTGGCTCTGTCCCTGATCTGCCTCTTTGTCAGTCTCAGCCCATCCTATGGGGAAACATTATGATTGGATCAGGCCACCACTTCTGCTGATGTCAGCAGGCAGTAGGCAGGTCTAAAGGAAACAGGGACAAATTAAGCAGCTGCAGACTTGAATACAAGTAAGATTTTACTATATTTAGGGAGGCATGAGGGGACCAGGGTGACTAGATGGTGGTGTTATCCCTATAGGGTCAGGAATACATGTTTGTGTTCCTGACCCTATAGTGCTCCTTTAATACAGGCTCTCAATTTGTTTCCACAAAGCAGTTGTGGCTTATAAACTCACAACGTATCATAAGAAAAACTGTTTGAAAACCAAACTGAGACTTGAGAGAACAGTGGACCAAGATAGATAAATTAAATCTTTTACAATTAATATGCTTTCTTTATATTACTTTATTCTCTGTATTAACTATGAAATATTAAAGTTAAAACAATTACATCTAAAAGCCAACTTTTAGTGTGTATTGGAATTGTAGATTATGCTAGCTTTAGTGTACCTATAATCTTAATTTTATTAATGACAGGAGGCGAGTATTTGTTTTAGTCTCTCTTTACTAGAACTCCACAGCAGCACAGAAAAACAACCAATAAGAAAAAAGTTAGGTACTATAAAACCCACTTCCCATTGCATCATTTCCTCTTTCAAGCTGCGACAAAACAGAAGAAAGGCAGAAAAATAATGGGAAGCAACGAAGTCCAGATACAATGAATACAGCAATGTCCAACGTCTGAGAAGAACTGTCAACCGGATAGCGTTGATGGACTGAAAATAAATAAGTCAATGTCCACCATCCACGAAGAAGCGCCACACCAAATAGTGCTGAAGAACTGGAAACTGAAACGAGAGAAAAACAGAATTGAACAGGTTGATTATCCAATGAAATGTATTTTGAATAAACTTGTAGATACCCAATGTAGCAAACAAAATTACCTTAATATGTAGATATCCCAACCCTACTTATTAAAAACAGACATAAGGACAGGTGACAGGTAGCAGAAACAACAAGCAGAATTGTATACGTACCTGATTAATCCAAACTATAAAATTAAACAAGGGAGGGATAAGAATGGGTGGGAAATACTCGCCTCCTGTCATTAATAAAATTAAGATTATAGGTACACTAAAGCTAGCATAATCTACAATTTTATAACATGACAGGAGGCTTCATATTTGCTGTTTTAACACTCAGCCAACAAATTCAACGCTGCTTGTTTCGCTGGTACCCATTCCGAGAATATTAGAGCAATCCTAAATGGACCTTCCAACTGCGAGAAGTGACCTCCATTGATAGAGCCATTGTACGTGGGGTTACGACCTGTTCCCTAGCAGTCGGTCCATGAGCTGCCAAGTTGACCTATTAGCCATATTCCTGTAGGTATAAAGTGCAGAGGGGTGGCGAGAAGAGACTTCCACCGTGTCTCGACTCTTGATGTGGGAGGTAATTCCTCCGATCGTGTCAGGTTCACCAGGCGATATGGCCTTGCAGACAAACTCCAACCTCAGGCTCGCGCCTAAGTCCACAGTCAATACTCGAATAGAACCGAATAGTGTCTATTTGTTCCTCTATGACCTACCCGGTGAATTGTCTCCTCCGAAAATAAAGTTATATGCAGATAATAGTGTGGACAATACTAGCCGTATCCTAAGAGACTCCAGTCTACCAACTGGACTGCGTAATCCACGGCTGTGGTCTAGAAAAGACATCCAAAGGACGTCCAATCAAGGTCTCAAACTGAACTCGTGTGGTAAACGGTGGTCAACTATTCTGGGAATTGTGAATCCTGGAAAGTTCAAAAGGATGGGACCAGAAACCGGGGTTGAGATTTCCATCCAAATACATCATCCTCTAAGAGTGTTAAGATGGCCGGATCCAATAGAGTTTAGGACCCGTATAACACAGAAGAGCCCTTACGTGTTGCAGTGAGAGTGTGAAATACTCCGATTACCCTTTGTACAATCCTGTTCCATGCCCGACCTGTCAATATTCGTGTAGGGGTTCCTGGCCTACACGCCACCTACAAGATAGGGAATAATATAGTGAGACCCCTAGGTTCCTGTCTCATAGACTGTCCAAGCATGTATCTCCCAGTGTAGGTTTCTTTGATGGTAGTTGAATAGGAAGGCTAGTGAGAACCCAAACCAAGATGGTTCCCGTGATGGATATAGAGTCCGAACACTGTTCTCCAGATATGTGTTCAGAGTTGTAGGAGCAGTCCTGCCAACTTTATCTCAAGATTGTAAGGACCAGGGAAGCCAATTCCTGAGAATTTCGGTTTCTCCATGCGATCCATGCATACGGTGCACCTGAAGACCGTTTATGTGAATTTTCTAGTCCTGTTACTCGAGCAAGGCAGTGTCTGTTTGCCCCATGCAGGTCTCAGGATCTCATGTCACCCTGACACGGGAGAATAGTCTGCACAGTTTGTACGCAATGAATATCTGAAACAGAGTGCAATGTCTGTTTGATATTGCACAGGTTATACCAAAACCTGTACTCTTGTAAAAACTGAGGCTCCTCCTTAGCCGTACTGTCACTAATACCTCTGAGGGTATTTCTCATGTGGATTACAAGATGGATCCAGTCAAACTATGTATACCTTGCCCGATCAGATAGCCCTCTAGAACGAAATCAGTAGCACGGTCATCATATTAAATTGGATGTAGGAGGGACGACCCTCTATGTGGTCATAGTTGACCTGTACAGGTACACGCCTGTGTGAGGACCAAATGGACGGCACCATAGTGCGTTGAGTGTATGAGAGAGTCGCACTCTGTAAAATGTGATCGCACTCTGCGTCCGCGCACGGTTGGTGGTATGAGCAGTCCGCACCCGTTAGAAGTCAAACATAGAGTCTACCTCTGTGTCCAGTTCCTTCTATAAGAACGAGTCACTCGGAGCATGTCCTCTATATCCAGCTCAGTATTGGGCTGAGGTTAAGGGAGGGCCGCGCCCTCTAATAATGAATCAGTGTCCGATTCGGTAAATGAGAGGGGTTTGCCCTCTATTCTTGAAAATAAAAATATCAGTCTCGGGCCGAGGTGAAGGAGGGCCGCACCCTCTGTAATCCAAACCAGAGTCCAGTAGAGACTCAGGGTGACCAAACGTGGGGTTACACCCTTATTTAATATAAGCAAAGTATACAACCTCGGGCCGTGTCCGACCTTAATAAGAGAAAGGGGTGATGAGAAAAGTACGTTTCGGAGCTGAAGATGGTAACTATCAACTGACCGCCCGGATCCCGTGCGTGCGCGCGGGCTCCAGGATGACCGTCAGTAGTCTGAGGAAAGCTGGAGACGTTCTCCGCAATCCACAAGCGCCCGGGAGGTCGGAGGAGGTCAAGTCAGGCCTCTCGA